ATAATCAATAATTTAAATTTAATTAATTAATTTTTATATTTTACTAAAATTATTAATTCGCTCCACCACACAAATTCATCAACCAGTTGATCAAAAATTTTATCATCTAAACTTTTAAATATTTATATTTGAGATGGTTTCTTTCTTTCGTTGTCGTATATATGTTTCTTTGCATGATAAAATTATTTTTTCTAGTGCTTTTGATAATTTTTGAACTCATTTCAAGAATGGGAAAAATTCTCGAACAAGACGTTTTGGTTTGTAGTTTTTCACACGTCTTCTAGTCTTTCCTTTTCAACATCGTGGATTAAGTCATTTATGTATAATTTATTTTATTTTTTATGTCTTATTTATGTATTTTTCTATTATTTTTATTATATTTTTTTTATATTGAGATAAATATTATAATATTTGTATAAGTAATTTTTTTTCAACGTTTAGTTCTACCCACTAAATTTTAAAACAGCAATTGTTCATATTAACATGTTGGACCTTCTTGAGTAGCCTTCTTAAGTTTATTTATTTATTTAAAATATTAAGTAAATTTTACCCATTAAATTTTAAAATAATAATTATTCAAATTTATTTATTATTTATAAGAATAACAAGATTATATAGACATGACAACGGAGCGGGACGGGTGCGGGTTTTTCCTCCTCGATCCTTGTTCCTTGTTCCTAATATTTTTACCATCCTTGTTCCCCTCCTTAATCTTCATCAGGATTAAAAATTAAGTTTTTATCCCCGTCCTCTTTCGATTTCAGGTCCGTCCCTCCTCCGTCCAGTGATCTATATTACTTTAAAAAATAAGTATATTTATAATAAATTAAATTTATTATTTTTATGTATTTCTTATACATAAATAAATATTTATAATTTATAATAATAATTATTATTATTAATTAAAAATATATTTTAATTTATTATATTTATATTAAAATATGTATGTAAAAAAATATTTAATTATTTTTTTCTTTATACAAATATAGAATATCTATAACATTATTATTATTATTATTATTATTATTATATTATTATTATATTCAAACATTTTATTACATATATAAATTAATTCATTTTTAAGTTGTCATTTAAAAATATGAAATATATAATTTATAAGGAAATATTTAATAAGTTAATTCTTATTTAATTAGTTCAAAATAATAAAAGTTTAAATTATAAATTCTTTTTAATCTTTTAAAATATAATTATTTTATTAAGATAAAATTTGATATATGACATATAAGAATAATAAGATTAAAAAAATATGACATAATAAAACCTAATAAATATAAATTATAAATAAAATAATATTAGTTACTACTAATATTTATGTAAAATATTTAGAAAAAGATAAAGAAAAAAATTAACTTTGTGTTTATCCAATTGGTTGAAAATATTGAAAAAAAACAAATTGATTGAAGAAATTAAGAAATTGTGAAAGACTGAAAAATAAGAGAAAGAGAATAATGTAGTAAACTAATTGATATAAAAGATTAAAAAAGACAAAAGAATTAAAAAATGGGTAGAAAAAAAAGTAAAAATGGTGAAATATAAAAAAATAACCTTATATATAATAAAAAAAAGAAAATACTTTTTAAATATTAATATTTTAAAATTTAAATTTAAAATTAAATATAAAATCGAGTATGGGACAAATAAGTCCCCACGAGTTTAATTATCATCCCTAATCATGACCATTTTATTAAGAATTAAAATTAAAGAAATTATTCATTTATTACGTCTATATTAACTTATATATATTAGCTAAAATATAAGTATAATTATTTTTATGTTTAGTTAAACAATAATTTTTAGATAAAGAATCTGTGAAAGATAATTTGCCTAATAGAAATTTTAAAATTTTCATAATATTTGTTTTCTCAAAAATTAAATTTTAAAAATTCATGATAATAATTTGACTACTAAAATTAGATAATTTTAAAAAATATTTCTCAAATTTATATATTTTTTTTACTTATTTTTTTCTTTACTTCAATCTTCATTATGATGCTTAATTGACATGTCTTAAATAATTTGATTTTGCCCAAACTATTTTGAATTTAATTAGTTAGACTTAATCGAAATCACTTTGACATAGATAAATATAATTTAAATCTCCTAACTCGATCTATCCTATATGTTATAATATAACTCAACCTGATATAAATCATTTACATATATCATAACTAGATTTAACCTATTTCGACTTATACATTTCTTAAGAAGTCCAAACCAACTATCCATATATAGGCTTGATGCACCACAATCCAAGTTGAACCACCTTGATCTAACCAAACTCATTCTAACTATCTTTACTTAGCATATATTATTTTAACTTGACGAAACTTATTTCATCTTAATATGGTTTGTCATATCTTATTATGTCTTGGCTTATTCACACCAAACTTCATTTGTCCGACTTAACTTAAATTTCCTAACCCATTATAATTCTTTTTAATGAACCCTTGAGTCCCACTTTAAATGGACTTGGTCTTGTTGATCATGGTGTGTCTCTAATTTTTGTATTTGATAATAATTAAAATTTTCTATCCAAATAAAAAGATTAAATTTCAATAAATTTAATTTATCTTATAAAAAATTTGAAATAAAATTAATTTAAATTTAGTGTATTTAAATTTTGTAAAAACTATAAAATTCTCTATTATTATTAATTGATAATTAATAATTTAGTATATTTTGATGATTTGTTTTGTTCTTAAGACGAGTAATTGATTGATGGTGTTATGGATGAGAGATATGAAAATTAGTATTATGGGAATGCGTTGATTTACCATTGGTTAGCATATTTAGTGAATGTAAAATATTTTTTTAATTCATAATTTTAATTAGTCTGATTTAAAAAATCTTACTCTCTAAGTTGGGGTTTTTAACTTAATGTATGATAGAAATCCAATTTAGTTATCTAGTAAATATAAACACCATACAAAACCAATATTATATGATGCCATTTTTAATTGATCTTGACTTTAAGAAACATTGCATATAAAGGAAACTCTTTTTTCATATCAAATAATCATAATTCATAAGAAAAATAATACTTGAATCATGATTTTCAGGAATTATGATATTATCAATGACTAAGTTCTATTTGATTAGTCAAAAAATACTTTTAAAAATATTTGTACTACTAAGTTATATTTTCCCAAGAACTTTATTTTTTTTATCACGTTAAATTATTTAATAAGAATAATTATTATTCTTTTATGACATAAAAATTTATTTTAACTCAGAAAAGTTATTACACAAGTAATTTCTTGAGATATGTGGTGAAAAACTATTCCTAAGAAACATTTCCGAGAAATTTAAACTTATATTCTCATGAAACTTAAACTTTTCATTGCATTCAAATTCCCTATATACTTTCTTTACACACAATAAGTAGGTTTAATGGCAATTTTGGTTCTTATTTATAAAATCTTCAATAATTTTGATTTCTATTTTCTTTTTCAATTTTAGTCCTTTCTTTTTAAATTGTTTATTTACTTCTTAAAATTTTCTATATATTTTGATAACTTAATTTTAAACTATTATTAGTTATTTTCATTTTTAGTTCAATCATTCATAATCTTTTTTTTTTTGTAATTTGGACATGATGATGGTTAATAAATGTAATTTTATAAAGATTCAATTTATTTTAAAAACTAAAAATAAAATAAAATTTGGATAATCAAAAGCTAAGACCTGAAGTTACAAAACTAAAAAATAAAATTAAAGAAGAATTTCAAAAAATATAAGATCAAAATTATAACTAAGTCTATTAAAAGTGCCAAACTCATGTCTTGTTTAGTGAGTACATGACATGAATTGAGTTTGGTGTGATTTGAACTATGAATATTTATATGATTGTAATTTAATTTATTGCATCATAAAAATATCATTAGATACAACAATTACTGAATCTGCATTTGTGTGTTGAGAGAAACATAAAGAAAACATTGTAAATACAAGTAAAAAAATCAACATTTTCATTATTTAATATATATATATATATATATATATATATATATATATATATATATATATATATATATATTAAGGAAACAAGTTAGAACAATTCAACCTTTTTGTTATTTTTTTCGATTAATAAAATAGCAGAATCATTATAAAACTTATTTGTCTTTTTCATTTATCAATGGAGAATATATGCTGGAGTGATGTTACAGAGTCCACGTGAAGTGATGAAAAGGGTGGGAAGAAGACAATGGAAGAAAAAGAGAATAAAATTAAAAAAAGAATAAATATTAATGAAAAGGAGAAACTAGAAGAATGATTTTTAAAAAACATATTTTTAGAGAAATATACTTTCCATTAATTGAAATAATGTATTAAAAATAATCTCATATGAAATAAAATAAACTTAATGAGTGAGAGTTTATCAATATTTTCTCTCTTCAACTCATTTTGCATATATACATATTTAAATAACAAATTTTAAATAAAAGTTAAAGTTTTTAAAAAAATATTTTAGATCTTTTGAAGTTTAGAAAAATCCAAAGTAACAAATAAAATTTACTAGGCTTTTTAAAATGTTATTTTTAATTTTAGTTTTTATGTTTAAATAAACCTTTAAAAAGAGATTAATTTTTTAATCTGGCAGAGTAATTACACTATCAAATAGCTTGAGGCCTAAACCCTGACCTTGTTTGGTGCAGTTTGAATAATGAACGGTTCTTCTTCAGCTTTGAGGCTTTTAGTACAAATCATGGTCCCCAGTTGAAGCAGCAATGACTGCCACCCTTTTCTCATCCACACACTCAAAAAAGCAAACTCACCCACTTGCGTGGCCTTATCATTCCAACATGTTCGCCATATTCGTAGGTTGTGGTTGTCAGTGAAACCATGCCACACCATAATACCACAACACTCTTGGTTTTTGTTTGTGTTCCCCACATTACACGCATTAGTTTCACACTTTCCTTTCTCTTCTCAAACCTACTTGTTTCTCTCTCCAACACCACCCCATTTCCTACTATAGCATGTCTCTAAGTCGAACCATCAAGCTACACTTGGCTCCATATTCTTCTTCTTCATCTTCTTCCCACCTTACCCTTAACTACAACCACCATCATGCAAAAAATGTAACAACTTTCGAAACTTGTCCCAAAAATACCAAGATTCGTCCCAAGTCCATTTATACGACCAATCCTTTGATCATCCCCTCGTGTAGAGTGAGGCCAAGAGTGCACTCTGGTGCCATGATCAAGAGTTCTTTGATAGAGCCTGATGGGGGGGCATTGGCGGATCTTGTGGTGCCTGAAGGTTCGAGGGGTGCTAAGATCATTGAGTTTGAGACGCTGCCCAAGGTGCTGCTCACAAGGATTGATCTTGAGTGGGTGCATGTGGTGGGGGAAGGGTGGGCTAGTCCCTTGAGGGGGTTCATGAGGGAGGATGAGTATCTTCAGAGTTTACATTTCAATTCCCTCAGGGTCAAGGATGGTTCTGTGGTGAACATGTCCCTTCCCATTGTGTTGGCCATTGACGATGAGACCAAAGCGAGAATTGGGTCCTCTTGTCATGTGTCGTTGCTGGGCCCTGATGGAGATTCTGTTGCAATTCTTCGCAGGTTGGTTAGTCTGATGACATTTTTTGTTTCTGGTTAGTGTTTAATTTCTTGTTGATCGTTCAATTGTGCTGTTCTGTATGAATTTTGGTGGGGTAGTTTAATGATTAGAATTGTGAAAGGAACAAATGCTAGGAGCATGGTACCTCCATTTGAATCCCTATTAAGAAATTAACATTGCAAAGGGGGTTGGTTCAAGAAAATTTTTTAAACCCCCCAAGAAAGGGGGTTGGCTCAGCTCGTTACTGTTACCGAATAGTTTTAAAGGACTTAGGTTTGGTTTCCGCTGCCAGAAATATGCTTTGGTAGATGATTCGTGAATGTTAATTTAACTGTGGCTATTGTAAAACTGAACCACAAGCATTATAGAAGGATCAGTGAAAGGCAACACTTAAGAGAAATGATCTATTGAACCATCTTAGTCAAATTAAACATTTTTTTCATCAAATGTTATTATGCCCCTTGATTTGAAATGCCAAACTTGCTGAGCAAGGATTGGAATTGTTTCCATCCGGATGCTCTGTGAAGATGGCAACAAACAGCAACTGGCATTGTGTTGTGGAGGTATATATTGTGTTTCAATGGGGTTGAAAGTTCAAAAGTACCAAATGGTCTTGGAATGATTTCAATGGGAGCAGGGTAAGTCAGTAGCAGTGATGTGATCTGAAGTATCAGTGTCTATCTAGTGTCCATTTTTTAGAGACACGCATTTGAGTTTTGAAGGATCTAGCGGATATGAGCCTCCTCTCATGCTTACCTAGTTATGAACTTTGCTCAGATTTGGGAGTGGCTTGGTTCAAATTTGAGATGGCACATCAATCCAAGCATCATTATTTCCCATTTCTGGGAACTCCTTGCTTGCAGGAATGACCAAATGTAATCAGTTCATTTCACGAAATCTCCATATTTATTAAAGAATGTTTCACTGTCCCTTGTTAAAAATCAGCTTAAGATCTACACTCATTTTTCCAAGTGTGTCTGTGTAGTCAAGACTATCATGAAACCATATCAGAACGAGGTGTTGTGATTATCTGAAGAATTTAGGGAACAAGGTGAGTAGTGATGAAGGGAAGTTAGGTATGGAGGGTTTGTGAAGCTTGAATCACCCTGGGATTTAGATTGTGCTCTCAGCTGTGGACCTAAGATAAATAATTTTGAGTATATGCAGCACAAGAATGCTACTTGATGTTGGTACTTGTATGTTTGGATTTTATGAGACTGACTATACAGCTTAATTGGAGACCTTAAATAACTGAGTGAAAAAAAATGTTATGAATAAATACTGACTTATCCTAAGTTACTTTTATTTTCACACGTTTAACATGTTAATACTTGGATGATTAAAGTTCTTCTCTTCAGTTTCAGTCTTATGTTTTACTTTAACTGTAAGTCCTAAAGTCATTTTATGATTTTAATTTGAAAATAAGATTATTGAAGTGCATTAGCTATCTGAGAAAATTTCTGTCATGGTATCTCTTGGCCATCATTAACCATTAAGATCCTATACAGTGTGGAAATCTACAAGCATAACAAGGAAGAAAGAATAGGTAGAACTTGGGGAACAACTGCTCCTGGATTACCATATGTTGAGGAGGTGATTACTCCAGCTGGAAATTGGCTTATTGGAGGAGATTTGGAAGTGCTGAAGCCTATCAAATATAATGATGGTCTTGACAACTACAGGCTCTCTCCCAAACAACTCCGAGATGAATTTGACAAGCGTGAAGCAGATGCAGTTTTTGCCTTTCAGTTAAGAAACCCCGTGCACAATGGTCACGCCTTGTTAATGAATGATACTCGCAAGCGCCTACTGGAGATGGGATACAAAAATCCAATTTTATTGCTTCATCCTCTTGGAGGATTCACAAAGGCTGATGATGTTCCCTTGGATGTCAGGATGGAGCAACATAGCAAGGTAATTCCCAACATCCCATTGTTCTTCTCAAAAAATATTGAGTAATCATAATGTTAATGTAAATGATCTCTAACAATGTATGCTCAGAAATGACCATGGAAGTGATTGAACTGTCATTCATTTTCAGTAATCTACTCATCTTGTAATTCCACAATTTATGGAATTTTATCCTATCAAGTATTTTTTGTTTATTATTAGGTCCTGGAAGATGGAGTTCTTGATCCTGAGACTACCATAGTCGCCATATTTCCATCACCAATGCATTATGCTGGTCCAACTGAAGTGCAGTGGCATGCCAAGGCACGCATTAATGCAGGTGCAAACTTCTACATTGTTGGTCGTGATCCAGCTGGTATGGGTCACCCAACTGAGAAAAGGGATTTGTATGACCCTGATCATGGAAAGAAGGTGCTTAGCATGGCTCCTGGCCTGGAGAAGCTTAACATTTTGCCATTCAGGGTAAGCAGTATTACTTTTACATGTGGCTATAGCTTCTTAATCCTGTGAGATATACCTTCTATCAATGCTATCTTCTTTACAATGTTTTACTTAATTTTGTACTTAGTTTCTTTCAAGCTCATACTCAGTTAAATCAAGTGATCAACTACTTACTCATGCATAACATGACTTATTCTTGAGATGGGAAATAAAAAATTGATTTGTTCATTTATGCACAAAGTTGTTTTCATAAGTTTAATATGCTAACTAAAGTTGTGCTGTCGAATTGTTCGTTTTTGTGACTGTTTAGACCAACATGTGTCTGATAATACCCATTTTCTTGTATGCCATTTTTAAATTACAGGTAGCAGCTTATGACACTAAGGATAATAAGATGGCATTTTTTGACCCAACCCGTGCTAAAGATTTCCTCTTTATATCCGGAACCAAGGTATTTTATTCCCTGTCCTTCAATATGATGTCTCAGGTTCCACAAACCTTAAATTTCATATCTGTCAACAGTACTTGGTCATTATATGTTAGGATACAATGTCAGGATCCTGGTTCCTGCTTCTTACTTGAATTGAATCTGGCTGCAACTTGAACCAAGTAATGTGTATGGATGCAAGTGGGTTGATTGGAACTTGGACCAATTAAAGAAAGGCATGCAGCATATGGATTTTACTAAAAATCTGTTTGTTAATCTTCAAGTTTATACATGAATACGTGAAATTCAGTTTTAGTTCCCATAAACATTTACTACATTTTTCGTCTATATTTTAACATAAACACATGATTTTAGTCCTTGATGAAGAACTAAAACCGCACACTTTTGGCAAACGTAAGGACTAAAACCGTATTAAACTTTCATAAGTACTAAAACCAAATTTTGAGACACTAGGAGAAATCAAAAATATATTTTATCCAGTATAACACTTAAATTGCAATTTAAATTCCGGTTCTGTCAATGGGATCAAGTGCTATTATACTCCAACATCACATGTATCATTAAGTTTGGTTTCTGAAACCCTTTGACAATTGGACAACTGTTCTTTACAAATTTTCATGGTTTCTTTGATGATTTATGTTTGTAGATGAGGGCTTTTGCGAAAAGTGGGGAGAATCCACCGGAAGGTTTCATGTGCCCAAGTGGGTGGAAGGTGCTAGTGAAGTACTATGAAAGTTTGCAGGCAGAAGAGCCATCACAACAGCCTGTGCTATCTACCTAGACATAACTAGAAGTAGAAGTTTAGCATGAATTTATTCCAAAGGGAGAGTGTTAAAAACACAGTTCTGGGAGTGCCATTTTTTATGCCTGGTCTTCCAGCTTCATGATCAAGATTTAAGCAGTGCGCAAGCATATTTGAATTTTTTGTACTATATTGAATCATCCTCTACTTTTGAAGTTACTATGACTGCAGAATTTATTGTAGTGCATCAAGCATAATTGCATCAATAAGGGTAAGGGAAATTCAGCACAGCCTTGGTGCTTATGGCTATTATGGGATTTTGAAGTTTACGTGATGACAATTTCAAGGATTTTGAAGTTTTTGTGATTGCTATGGTGGTCGCAACTTCAAGAATTTTTTAGTTCTTGTGATGATCATGATCGTAATTGTGACTGCATTATCCATGTTTTTGTCTACAATTTTTCACAATGTTAAGGATTGTGACCACAATTTGGATTGGCTAGAAATTTTCTGAGATGCGATCACTATTACCCTGTTGGGCAAGTGCACCAAATTGTGATTTTATTTTAGAATAAAAGTGAAGTTTATTAGGGGCTGTATTTGTTAAGTTATGGTTTGGCAACGTTGAATCATCTTTAAAAGATCAAAAAGTTGAGGGAAAAAAAATACCTTAATGGTTAAAATAAATTTATTTTTTATTTAAATAAATTCTTTTTGTAACCTTGTTTTATTAATGCAAAATCTTGTTAGAGGTTAGATTTTACTACTTTTGTACTCAAGTGATTTATTCTCACTAACTTCTTAATTCCGTGGCAAAATAATTTTTATTAGAGAATAATAAATTACTCAGAAAAGTTGTAAAATGAATTTTATTAGAGAATAAATACCATAAAACACTATTAATATATTAAATTAGTAAATATCTTATTATCTATAATGAATTTAGAAATTACTTCTAAAAACGAAAGTATTTTAGGTTTATATCCATGATAATATTGGGTCATTAGAAAATAAATAGGTCAAAAGATTATTATAATATATTAAATTTAAGAATGAATATTTTTTATATAATTATGAATTTAGAAATTGTTTTATCTTGTGTTTGATTTCATATCTATTATCAATATTTTTAAAATTAATTCGATTACTAAACCTATAAATTAATTCGATCACTAAACCTATAAACCTATAAAAATAAGTTAAGTGTTATATTGTTCCATTGGATTTGATCAAATTTAATAAAATAATTTTATATATATAAAAAAAAAATAATAAAGGTTACCATCATAATTATCCAAAATTACTACAAATATAAAATATATTAGAGAATTTAACATAAATAATTATTAAAATATAATAAAATAATTATTATTTAAAGTTGATATAACTAGATGAGATAAAAATAATATTAAAAAAATTTGATCTTTATTTTTTTTTATTAAAATTGGTTTGATCTAAACACTCAATCCATTTTATTAAAATATGAATATTTGGAAACAATAAATTGATTTCTAAACTAGTTTTGGATTGAACTAATTGAATCGGCTTAACCAATTTCTAAAATAATGTCCATTACAATAATATAGTTAAAGTTAATCACTACAAATTGAGTTAGTTTTTATTTTAAAACTTTAATTTATTAATATTTTGTCTTTAAAATAAACATTAATAGATTTAAGAGAAAAAAACATGTATAAATTATTTTGTTCTTAATTTTTAAGCGAACAAATAATATTTAAATATTTTAGATATAATTTCTTAACTATATTTGTTAAAGTTTTATAATTTGGTCGATTTAATTTTAAAAATTGGTTATGTATTAAAAAAAAAAACTATTCTAATCCATGTACAACTTAATATTTCCCAATAATATATGTAAAGATTTTAGTATTTAACCCTAAGAAGTGGCATTATGACTTTCTATTTGTGAAAGAACAAAAATGTTACTTAACAAATAAAAACTCCTGAACTTAATTCGTAATTTCACACATCACCGTCATCCATTTCTTGATCTCTTTTCTCAACCTTCATTTTCTAAACAAAATCAATGATGTAAATTTTCCAACATGAATTATTTGAGTTGCATAGAATTATTGCTATTTAAAAAAGGACCTATCGGAAAGAGAGATGCAAATAATAATTAAAAAAAAAAAAACCTTGTCTGCTTGTTTTTTCAAGCAAAATAATACAAAGACACGTTGAAATGTTTGTTTGTCTTGGTATAAATTTATGAGTAATTATAACACTTTGATTAGTCTAATAATATCAACACACATTTCAATATGTATTTTTTTAAATAATACACTTCAATTATGTATAGAAAGTTGTACATGAAGTGATAAAATCAAAACTTAAACTAAATAAAAAATCAAAACTTACAGAGAAACATAAATTATTTGAATCTATTAAATTATAATTTGACACATACATAGTAAGTTATAGTGTTTTAAAATAATTAGTTTAAAATTTCATAATCGAAATAGTTTTTTATTAATTAATAATGAAAAAAACTTTATACTAACCCACTGTAATTAGAAATTAAATTAATTAAATAACCCTCCTGCAGGAAAAAGAAGAAGAAAGTAACCCGAAAAAGAAACTAATAACAGTTGGACACAAAAACGCTGCGTTGCAGTTAGGGCGCGGTGTAAGTGTAACTGCCAAAGGAACTTGCACATTAGATCAGATCAACTGTATCATTTAATTTCTTATTTATTCTCTCTGAAACTTTGTAACTCCCGAAATTCTGATTCTTCCATCGAATTCAATTGTTTCAAATTGTGCATTCTTTGTGTCAATTCTACAATTTCCATTTTTCAATTCTGTTCCTCAAATACAGCGGAGTCAACTTTTTGGCAGCGAAGTTAACTAAATTCTTTTCCTTTTTAGTACTTAACTTCCTTCCCACATTTTTAGAGCAAGTGGGGTGATACAATGAGCACTCAAAGTGTTGAACATGATGCCAGTGTTGATCTTGAAGGTGTTGTTTTACCATCAAGTGGAAATGCGATGGGAGATCCGGGTGATGTTTACGGCAAAATGCTCACAAGCCTTGATTTCGGTGTGGCTTGTTTTTGTGAGAAAGTTTCCAACTTGAGCATTTTTGTGATGTATGTGGAAACGATGGAGTGTGAGTTTGAGGCCTTGGCTTTGGAGAAGGAGGATCACATTGGTTGTGTGGAAAAGGGTGTGGAGTTTGATCTGTTGTCTGTGGTGTTGGATTCAGAGATGAGAGAGTTGGAGGGAGTCTTGAACACCCTTCAAGGTTGGGTTGGTGAGGCTAGAGAGTGGGTGTGTCCTGACTCTCGTTTGGAAGAGGCTTTTGTGGCAATGGAAGATAAGTTGGTTGATTATGAACAACAGTTGAAGGAGTCTGAAGTGGAGTTGAATAACATCAAGATGAAGTCAGCTGATTTCCAGAGGAGTTTGGCTTCTTTTAAGAAGACAGAAAATGGTACGTAGGGGATCTCATTTTGTTCATGTGTTCAAATATTTTATGTTTGGATAATATACGGTTTTGATCATAAAAGTATTACAGTTTTTTTGTTTTAGTTTTGTTCATTCTTGTGTTTAACAAAATAATGTGGTTTTGGTGGACTAAATCACTTGATTTTGTTAAATGTTAGGGCAAATACTTAATAATATTTGAGCTTAAGTGACATGCACTAAAAGGTTTTACACTATTAATCAATGAAAAATTATCCTTGGCATGACTTTTAAGGTAATTGTTATAAAACTTCACAAATTTACCATACATGGCGGTATGTAGTTTGATGACAGTTTAAAATACTTTTACTCTGTTAGACGTGTATTGTCTATAAGTTTTTATAAGAACCAAATCAAAAAATCATGTTTTTTTCTGAACCAAAAACATATTTAAATGTTTATATTTTCATGTTGTTAGAAAAGGGTATTCTTTTATGTCTGTCCTGTTTTCTGGGCTTTCTCTTCAACTTTCATGTAAAATTGTTTGTGTGAAAGCAGCCAAAACTTCTCTTTTAGGTTACTTTTATCACCAAATAGATACAAAAAGAAAAGAGGAAGGGAGAAAAAAAATAACTATGAAGAACATTGAACTGAGTGGCTCAAAATATCAGCTTCTTGATTGATGTAATGGGGAATTTATGCAGGCGAAATCATCGGAGAGGATGATAAATCTTTTAATGCAAAAGAAGAGATAAAACTGCAGACAGTTGAGCAACAAAAACATATTCTTAGAGTGCTAGACAAATCATTGGCAAGAGAACTGGATCTTGAGAAGGATTTACATGATTCAAGAGAAATTGGAGAAACACTAAAACTAAAGATGTTCTTTACAGAACAAAAGCTTGTTGAAATGGAGGAAGAAGCAATTGATGTTTGGGAAAGATGGCTTGAGGCAGAGAATGCAAGTGAGGTTCTGTTGGGAATTTCAAAAGGCCTTTTAGGTAGACTCCACATTTCTCAGTTCAGTTTGAAAGGTCTTAGTCATTGTGAATCTGAGCTTCGAGCTAATCTCAAAGATGCTGAAGATAAACTAGCCCTTTCCAATGCTGAGGTCTTCTCTTTAAGTGGCAAGGCATCTTTACTTGAGAAGCAGCTAAAAGAATCTGAAGTTCAACAAATGAATGCAAAAGCTTCTGCTGATGAATATCAGAAGCAGTATAATGGTATATGTTCTGAAGCAAGAGACATGAGGAGTATCATTGTTGAGATGAGAGAAGCTGTATCTAATGCAGAAAGTAGGGCTAATAGTGCAGAAAGAAACTGTAAGCTATTGACGGAGACAAATTCAAAACTTGACGAGGAGCTGGCTCTTTTGAGAGGCACATCTATGAGAGCAGATTTTCTAGAGAGGAAGTTGAAAGAATCTGCTAAAGCTAGTCAAGAAAAACAAAGTAAGTTGTATGCCACAATTAGAGATATGGAAACCGTGATAAAGGATCTTAAGTCAAAGGTTTTGAAAGCTGAGAGTAGGGCTGACAGTGCAGAGGACAATTGTATCATATTGTCTGAATCCAATGCTGAGTTGAATGAGGAACTCAGCTTTTTGCGGAGTAGATTGGAAAGCGTGGAGGGATCCCTTCACCGAGAGGAGGAAGCAAAAACGGAAACTGCAAAGGACATTGGAAAGCAGGCCAAAGTATTCAAAAAATTGGTTACTCAACTGGCTGTTGAGAGAGAGCGTCTTAAGCAGCAGGTATCTAGATAGAGAAATTTTATCTTTAACTGAATCATTAATCTTTCATATATATATATATATATATATATATAGAGAGAGAGAGAGAGAGAGAGAGATTGATGCCTTGGTATATGATGGTTACATCAATGTTACGGTGTGCATGCATGTTTTACCTTTCCTTTGGGTGTGAACTTTACTTCTTCCATATTCATGAGTGTGTGAGTAAAGTATGTGTCTTTTGTTTTACATGTAAATTAACTCGATTGAAAAATTCATTGTAAGAATAATAAGCTGTAGTGTTAAGACACCAAGTTGATGCAGTGACCATGCAAAAGTGTTAATGATCTTGATAGATGAGGTAGAAATAGATCAACCGACAACAAGACTTGATGAATGATATGCTGAAACGTGAGACATCTTCCTTCTATGTGTGGCTTGTTGAAATTTTGTGTTTTTTCTTCAGATATCATCCCTAGCAAGTGAGAACAAAATTTTGGTAGTGAAGTTAAAGCAGACATGTTGAGATCCTTCTTAAGAAGCTAGTGAGACTTCAGCCACTGGCTATGAGGTTGGTACACTGAACTTTCTTCATTTGCCTATTCATTGATTAATTTATACATGTAAACGACTGATTGACAATATTTATCTTGACTTTTTTCCCTTAATATAAATCAGATCGATTTTTTGATCAAAAGTACTGTGAAATCTTCTGTTTTTTTTTTTTTTTCTCTTTCTCAATCCTTATGTTGTAGGTAGAGCGTCTGAATCAATAGATCCCTTTCTTTTGTACATAGATGAATCAATATTATTACATTCCAATTCCTTTCCAATATCTCCTAAAGAACCAAATTGAATCCCAAATTGACTGGTTAGCGTGAGTTTATCCATGCAGTTATGCACCCTTAGAATAGGAATTTATTTTCTAAAAGATCCCAACTTTCGTGCATTGGTGGGTCTTCGAGATCCTTTCAATAACCTATGTTGCGTCGAGATCCTTTCGATATCCTATGTTGCGTTGAAGGGATATCTATTATATAAAAAACAGTTCTATTTCTATTCCATTAGTATTTTCTATTAATATAAAATTCATTTTAGTTAGTGATCTCGGCTCAACTAGTTTTTTCTTTCGTGATGAACTGTTGGAACCAGTCAGGCATGACAATGGGGCGGGGATGGATTTTGCCTCTCCGATCTCCGCCTCCGACTTTTTAACCGTACTCGTCCCCGATCCTCGTTGGGGTTAGAAATTAAATCATCATCTCCGTCCCCGTTTGGTTTCGGGTTTCTCCGCCTCCGTCCCGTCCTCAATCTATATTATTTTAAAAAATAATTATATTTATAATAAATTAATTTTACTATTTTTATGTATTTTTTATACATAAATAAATATCTATAATTTTATAATTTGTAACTATTATTAATTAAATATATATTTTAATTTATTATATTTATATTAAATATATATGTAAAAAAATATTTAATTATTTTTTATTTATACATATAAAATATTTATAACATTATTATTATTATTATATTGTATTCAAACGTTTGAATATTTCTAAAACATTATTATTATTATTATTATTATACTGTATTTAAACATTTGGTTACATATATAAATTAATTCATTTTTAAGGTGTCATTTAAAAATATGAAATATATAGTTTATAAGGAAATATTTAATAAGTTAATTCTTATTTAATTAGTTCAAAGTAATAAAAATTTAAATTATCAATTCTTTTTAATCCTTTAAAATATAATTATTTTATTAAGATAAAATTTGATATATAACAAATAAGAATATTAAGATAAAAAAATATGACATAATAAAACCTAATAAATATAAATTATAAATAAAATAATATTAGTTACTATTAAAATTTATGTAAAATATTTAGAAAAGAATAAAAAAGAAAAAAATTAGTTGTATTCATTAAATTGGTTAAAAAGATTGAAAATAAAAAATTGATTGGAGAGGTTAAGGAAATGTAAAAAATTGAAAGGTAAGAGAAAGAGAATAATATAATAAACTAATTTATATAAAAGATTAAAAAAATAAAAGAATTAAAAAATAAGTAAAAGAAAAGTAAAAATGATGAAACATAAAAAAATAATCTTATATGTAATAAAAAAAGAAAAAGACATATTTTTAAAATATTAATATTTTAAAATTTAAATTTAAATATAAAGTCGGGGTGGGAACGAGACTGGAATGAGGATTGCATTATCCATTTCTGCTCTTGTCTCCGACTTTTTAAAACGGGAAATATCCAGACCCACTTTCGTTTCAATTTTTTTCCATCAAAGTCGGGGTAGGAACGAATCAATTTTCACATATACGAATTTAATTATCATATTTAAAATCAGTCTTACATTTTGTCTTGATACAACCAAAGAGAAAGGGAGTTTGAGGGAAAGAGGATTGTACCGTTAGAGTAGCAGGGAGGTCACATTGTTCTCGTGAAATTATCTATTTGGAGAAGCCCTTCACCGTGTACAAAATGTAAAAGAGTATATGCCAATGTTTTGGAATCAGATCAATGAACCGATATGTACATAGCTTCTGCATTGACAATAGTGTATTACACTGGGAATGTAAAAAGATGTTATTGTTGCCCTCCTTTTCTAAGTTTTCCTTTACCAGTGTGACAGGAGGAGTCACAGGACTTCAGAAACAAGTTATGCAGCCGATAATGAAGTCAAACCCTCAGATTCAGTAGTGTGAGGAGAACAGATGCAAGAATTCTTGATTTTTCATATCAATTCTTGTTTTACTGGATCCTCTTCATCTTGTTCTACGTTAAATCAATAGTTAACAGGAATTTTCTTAAGGTGTTGCTGTTGTATTTATTCACAGGACGTAAGTATTTAATGCAAAGCATATTCCAGTTGTAACTTTTGAACTCAACTAAATATCCAAGAAATATAATAAATATTTTAGTTAAGTTTTCTTTTATATACTTTAATTTTAGTGTTTATGTGTCATATAATTTCAAGTGTTAAAGAATTATATTTATTATATTGTTTTAGTTATCTATTTGACAGGATATGTTATTGTGTAATAAAAAATATATAAATTATTAGAATAAAAAAATAAAGAAAAAAATACTTCACATATTAATTAAAAAATCAATATAATAATAGAGACAAAAAATATAAATAAATATTTTTTAAAACTTAAACCAAATTTTTACAATTTGATTACCAATTTAGAATATAATTTATTAAACACTCAAAATAAAATTCAATTAACTTAAAATTTATTCTATTTAAATTTCTAAAACATGTTAGAGAAATTAACTAACTAATGAAAAAGTAATTATTTATTTTAAATTTATGAATCTTATATAAGTCTACACTTTTATTTACGTAAGTTATTTTATCATGTTTTTGTTTTTTAATATTTTTTAGACACATGTGAAATACTTCGGTGATAATTTTTTATTAACATAAACTTTTATTGTTTAAAATTTTATATAAACAATGGAAAGAAATGTTACAATAAACCTAATTATTTTGAAATTAAGAAAGTTAAATCAACATCATTTAAAAAACACACGTTTTAACAAAATTTATAATTAAAATGAATTTAACTACAGATCCTAACAATATTAACGAATTTTCTCTCAAATAAATTATACGTCCACAGTAGAAAATAAAAATAAAAAATAAAAATTAAAAAAATCTGCATTCAGCCATTATAGTCAAAGAATACACCAATCTCACGTAATTTCTTTCCCCATCTTTGCACTCTCGTTGCTGCAACAACTCTTCAAAATTCTCCGTCACGAACAACAACAACTTCGTCAAAACGAACATCGTACACACGCAACACAACACAAACAGGAACAAACAAGAAGCACAAAAATTTGTTCGGACACCTTAAAATCTTGTCGTGTTTAGTTTTGGTTTCTCACACAACACAAAACGAAAGAGATTCATAGAATCGCATTGAATTCGTTTTTGTAACATAACATAACATGTCTCATCATCATCAGCATCATCATTCTTCCAATCCCTTCGAGATCTTCTCCACTCACTCCGATTCCGATTCCGACTCAGTGAGTTGCTTCGTCACCGATCTCTTCGAGGGTCGCTCGCGCCTCTGTTCCTGCGACGACACTGACATAAACCCCTTCTCCGGCGTCGTCTGCGATGTCCATCGCTCCGAACACGTGCTAGGTTTGGGGTTGGGGTTTGAGGTTGGAATTGAATCCCAAACGCGGGGCGACGATGATAATAATCGCGATAGGGTTTTCAATTTCGCCGTGGGGGATGGTTCGGGAGGGCTTAGGGTTGTAGGGTTCGGTTCGGATTCGGATGATTTGAGTGGCGAGGGGGGCGGGGTTCGTGATGAGGGCGGTGGATTTGATGACTTCGATGTTCGGTTGTGTTGGGATAGTCTCTGTTTGGAGGATCAGAGGACACTGAATGAGTGTTTTGAATGGGAGGAGGTTGAGGAGAGGGTGAATGAGAGGGAGGATTTGGGTTTGGTGGTTGGTGAGGCTGAAATTGAAGATGATGGTGATGGTGATGATGGTAATTCGGTGGCGTCGGGGTTTACTAATGCCGGTGAGGAGGAGGAAGAGGAGGAGGAGGAGGAGGATGGCGGCGAAGAGGCGCTGAGGTACCTTGAGTGGGAGATTCTCTTGGCGGTTAACAATTCGGAGAGGAATGCTAACAATGGTGGTGGGTTGGAGCATGAGGGCATTACCGGTGCTGCTGATTTGTTGACAATTCAAGATGGTTATGTGTATGCGGCGGAGTATGATGTTTTATTCGGGCAGTTTCTTGAGAATGAGAATGCCTTGAAGGGAAGCCCTCCCGCGGCGAAGAGTGTTGTGGAGAGTCTCCCCTTGGTGGAGTTGTCGAAGGAGGAGTTGTTGCAGGGGAAGAACTTGGCGTGCGCCATTTGCAAGGATGAGATTTTGTTGGAGGAGAAGGTCAGGAGGTTGCCCTGCTCCCATTGTTACCATGGGGACTGCATTTTGCCATGGTTGGAAATACGCAACACATGCCCAGTTTGTCGGTTTGAGCTGCCCACAGATGATCCAGATTATGAGCAGAGGAAGGTCCACAGGGCTGCTCATGATCTGTTGGAGCTTGCAGCAGCAGGGATGCAATTTTGACTTGTTGCTTCAGGTTATACCCTCGGTCTTGTGTAAATAGCAGTTTGCTTTGTCTCACATCAAACTGATGATGAGAACAAATCCTTTGTAAGTAGTCTTCGTGCTGTGGTGATTTTGGAATAAATTTCGTACCATATTACATGCCCTGGATTTACCTGAAACGAATGCCTGTGAATACTCAGTTTATAAAAAGTTAAAGTGTACCACAAGAAGTATCATTTTGTTGGTTTAGTGGTTTTTTTGATGAACTTATGTTATAATTTTGAGATTTCTGCAACTGTAGCAGAATCATGATGTATACCGAAAATGTTGGTTTTCTGGATATCTACATACCCTTTAGTTTGCCTTATGCTGATCCTTTCTTGAAAGAGTTGCTTTTCTAAGGAAAAGGAAAAAGTTGTATTTTTTTTTTTCCATAGTTTATGTTATTGTAAATTTTTTATGTTAACATTCTCATCATCGTCATCATATATATATATGTGTGTGTGTGGATATCCCTTCACTGATTCTGTGTAATGCTGGATATTATTCCATCCCAATGTTTTCAGAGATTTGCCTTCTTTTTATCGTGCCTGCTTGCTTAGTTCTCCTGGCATGCGGGCCGTGAATTTGGCCATTATGGTTTCTGCAGCAGAAAGCTATTAGTGATTATTGTCATAGTTGTAAATATTAGTTTCAAATAGTGGTGCTATCTCAGAATTGAGTCATGCAGCTGCCAGACTACACTACAGAAATTAATCAGAGTCATGGTTTGAAGTAATGGCCATTATGGTTTCTGCAGCAGAAAGCTGACAGTGATTATTGTCATACTTAAGTCGTAGTTGTAAATAGTAGTGCCAAATAGTGGTGCTAACTTAGAATACTGTCATGGAACAGCTAGAGTACAATGCAGAAAATGAACAGGGTCATGGTTTGAAGTAATAACTATCGCAGCTGTAATCATGGGCTAAATAATGGAAAATTGCAGCTTGAAAGGCTCTATTGGACTGGGTCACAAAATACATATTTTAACTACAAAACAGCATTAGTCAGAGCTGCTTTAGAGGGGAATATTTTTTATTTTGCCGTCCTCATTTGCATCAGATCCAAATAGATACAAATTAAATTATTTATATATTATGCATATATAAATGCTGTTTTTATAGAAAGAAATATAGCCAGAAAGAGCATGAGGCTACCTATCTGAGCACGACACAAGAAAAATCAAAGGACAGAGAAAAGCAAATGTTGAATAAAGAAAACAGATAGAACCACTGAGTGTGTAGCAAGAACAAAACAGAGTCCAAAGGATGTGAACAGAAAGGACACAACAGAAAAAGAGGTCTGGCAGTTGGCTGGAAATGCTTCTGGAGTGCTGTGTTCACTCACTTCACTGCTAACGTGATTGAGGACTGTGGATGAGACAGTTTGCATTTAGTAGAGAGTAGGCTGGGGGAGCAGTGCATTTATTCAATCAATGCAATTCAGCATGAATCACTGTTTGAAAGGGTTTTGAACTCTATGTATTGAAAAAGGTGGGAATCAAAAAATTATCCCCCAAAAAGTGGACGGACAACAATCTGGAGCAAAGATGTTCTTTTAAGTCCATTGTCAATTTTGTTGCAACAGCTGCAAATTTGCACAATTTGGGCCTTGAAGCAAGAACTACACCAAATCAGGACACAACAGCTTCTCTGCAATGGTCAGATTCTTCAATGCTACACTGATTCGACAGTGCCATCTTGTGTGATGGAAATAGAATATTTGAATGTGTCTTCTTGAGTAACACTTTGGGTAATTGATTTCCCTTTCTTTTCTATTACTATTTTTTGAATTTGCATCATGATATATTTATTATGCTACATTTGTGTGCGTATGACATTTAAGTGAGGTCATATTAACACTTGATATCTAAAATCATTTTCTACTTGACCTTGATCTTATAACATGTTGGATTCAGCTTAAATTTAGTGAAATAAACATTTATATTTTAAAAGCTCTCTCAAGGAGCTGAATAATAAGTAATTACTTTTTTGAAAATAACAGAAGCAAACATGTACATAGTTGAGTTGCTTACTCAGCTTGATGTTATGTTTCTTATATTTTTTTTATGTATAGTTTGATATCACTGTTGTGACTTGTATTTTGTGTGTTGAACATATATTTTTTGGATGTCCAGCTCTTCTGGAGAGGAAGAAATGTTTGGCTGTCAGTTCTTTCTTATTTTGCAACCTAACAGCTGGAAAACTGTAAAATTATGTGATTGTTTTCTATTGATGTTTAAGCTATATTGATTAGTTTGTGATGGAAGCCTGACCAAGTGTCAAGCAGGCATAGAAGGCTTGGCTGGCGATTGACAGGATGTTCATAGATCTGTTGTGTGCACAAGTATTTCATCCATTGTCATTGCCTGTTGCTGTTATCAATCATTGTTTTCTTAGTATTCCGCAACAGAGAAAATCCTTAGCAGTTTCCGTACGTCCTCAAACTGCCTGATTGCATGCATACTCTCCCCGGATATATATCTTAGCATTGAGGTACTGATCATTATTTGGTGATATTTTAATTCATGTGTATCAGGTCGTCAACATTCTACTCAATAGGGCTTTGCCTTTATTCTTTCATATTGAAAACTTTTATTTTTCAATTTAATCTGTCTCAAGTTTTATTCTGACATTCTATAGTTTTTTCACCTTATTGGGCTGGAAAAATCGTGTGATTGAACCTTTAGAAGAGGAAGGTTTGATTTAATCCCCTCTGTTTTCTTGTTTTTCTATATTCGAAATTTATCCCCTTTTACTCAGGCAAGGCCAAGAGTAATGGTGAAGTGTGCTTTGGTCATGGGTCTGATTCTGGAAACAGCCTCTTCGTATATGCATGGAAGCCTGTGAACAATAGTCATCCTCATAATCTTGTAAAAATGAGGGGCACCTGTCACCAGGGTACATTAGTACCCCCTCTTTCCCAAGACTTTCCCTGTTTCCTAAATCCAATACCTCAGTTTTGATGCTGATTTCTGGCTGATAACAAAAATAATGTAAAGATGGCTATGCCAGGAAATAATTTTGAAGTTATTCTAGAGGATGGACTATTGTTTATAATAGTTAATGTTCAGTTTGAAAATTGGAGTTTAATCTGTTAGTAGGCATGAGCAAATGTGCAGCTAAACTGATATGTGATCCTTGTTGTTATTGTTGTCATCTATATATCATGGGGTCAAGTTGTCTTTATGTTTGGAACTGGATGTGAGAACTATAGTCTCTATTTGTGCTCTCTGTAGTGAGAAATCTGTCTTTAATTTTAAGAGAGACTCTTTTTTCTTTTATTGTCATTTGGTTCCAGTCATCTCACATCTAGAAACAACTGAAGTGGCTCAAGAGTTCAGGGTTTTTTTTTTTTTTTGGTAGTTTTCTTTTTCCATTAAAGTATTCTCGTACTACCATAAAAAGTGTTGTGGTGACATTGGGTATTTTGCTCATTAAGTGGTAGCATAGTACATTACATGCTCTGCGTGATTGCATGTGAATCGGTGGGGGCGTTAAGTGACTGCATTCTTTGTTCCCTTTGCAGCTACTATTTTATGCAGCTTTAGCTAAAATTGAGACAGCTTATTGAAATCTATGTTCCATAATTGCTGCACATGCAATTCTAGTTGCATTTGGTAATCTCCTTACACAATATTCTGAAATTTAGAACACCAAGCAATACTGATCGGGTAGGAATGTAGGATGCTGGTTAGCTCACATTGTTTGTTTTTGGCCAGTTTCATAGGACTCGACCTATAATTGTGAAGGTGTATGAGAGATGAAAGTGGGAAGTTATAGGAGAGCAGGCCATTAGATAAGGTGGACTGTATTCCTAACTAACTACACAATAAAGTAGTTAGTTAGGTCCAGAGAAAATAAGAGTAAATAAAAAGATTGAGATCCCAATAGGGGGGAATCAATTTTGTAGTGTAATTAGGAATTTGGGAGTTGGCTGAGCTAGTCAAACCATCTAATGTGACTCTTGCCTCCTTTTTTATCCTCTCTACATTGGAGAAGGTTCACTCTTTTTCATTTGCTAGTACCAATTTTAACAAACTGGTATTGGATCGTGGATCTTGTGATCAATGACTAATACAATAATGGAGTGAAGGAAACCTGAAAATGTAGACCCATTGGTTCGACCTATTGGAAAGGTATTGACTTTTGAGGAGGAAAACCAGCACTTTCTAAAGCTTGAAGCAATGATGGAAACCTTGCTCTATAGTTTTAGGTCAAATATAATAGACGTTGGTGAGCATGTGTATTGAAAGTTATTTGCGATGAATGATGAGACAGAAACTCTGAAGCAATAGCCTGATCACTTGATTTGGCCAGAATATTGGTTTACTACACAATTACAATGCTGTATGACAATGACAACGATGATTCCATTTAATGGTTCATATGGCCAAGATCCACCGAAGTTATGGAAGAGTATTACCATCCTTCTAAGTTGAGGAGGTACATAAGTTGACTAATGACAGGGATGCGCTCTTAGGAGAATTAATGGCCCAAGACAGTATGAGATCTCAAGCTAACAAGCACAAAAAGTCCTTGAATTCCAAACTGATGATTTATGAAAGACATTTCTTCTTGCAGGTATACAGATCTTGGCGCATCCCTTTTCATTTTGGAAAGGTGTGTTAGAATATAAAAATTATATTCTGAAGTACTGTTTCTGGAATGAAAGGGAGTGGACCAAGATGTTCAGTGCAGGAAGTTGAGGGCTTTATTTAATCTAAAGCTACAAGCTTATAGAATTAAGCCCAAAATACTATGGCATATTTAGTGTATGATCTAATACTTTCTATTTACCTTTCACACTAATATTCTACGTTATAGTATTTATTTACTAAATGCTGAGATGCTCAATTTAAGATTCTTAATAAAATCTTATTTTCTAACATTTCCCACATATTTGAGTACTGTTAAAAGTGAGTTTTAACTCATGGGTTGGAAAAATATTGGTTTACTTTCCTTTTAGTTGATTTTGCC